GCGACGACAAATACTTCCGAACGGGGCAAGAGAGTAACTTGATAATTAAATAAATAAAGAACAACGCCAACACCATGCTTTTCCAAAATAGTCAACTAAACATAAATTTTTTTAACGGGTCTCCGATGTGCACTCTAACCGTTCAGAAAAAAACACCAATCTATCAGCGTGCACAATATTTTTATGCCTATCCGAGCAATGAATACAATACACTACATCACTTAATTTTTTAACGACTACGTAAGGTCCTTTCCAATTATTCTGTAATTTATGAGCTTTTTCTTTGCTTTTGCGAGCATTGAAAAATCAAACTTTTTGTCCAACATCAACAAGAACGTGTCTAGCTTTCTGATCATAGCGTACCTTTGCCTTGATATCATCTCCAACCGTTCTTTAACATGTTATTGAATTGCCTCTAACTTTGACTCTAATTTCCGAATATAATCCTCCAAAGAATCAAGAATAATAATTCGGTGGAGGACACCGCAATAAGTCCAACGGCAGACGCAGGTCACGAACAAAATTCAATTCAGCATGAGAAATCCCCGTAGCCTCATGTCTAGACAATCTATAAGCAAGCAGGAACATAGGGACCCAACAATCCCAATCTTTCTGATTTTCACTAACAAATTTAAACAGATATTGTAAAATTGTCTGATGTTGTCTCTCGACCTGCCCATCAGACTGCAAATGACGAGCAGTAGTACTTGTTTTCTTAATTCCTAGCTTCCACGACAATTCTTGAACAAGTCGACATTCGAAGTTCTTTCTTTGATGCGTATGTAATTCCAACGGTACACCATAAAGATAATCTGGTTAGCAAAAACCTTTGCCACAGTCGACGTTCTAATATTTTTTAAAGGAAAAGCTTTCACCCAATTGGTGAAGAAATCAACAACCACAAGAAGATATTTATTTCCCGTCGAAAAAGCTAAAAAAGGACCTAGAATGTCCTGCAATCTCTCAAAAGGCGCACCAGCATTATAGATTTGTAATGGAAACCTCCCTTTATCCAAAGAACCTTTCTTTGCAATACAAACCCTACAAGACTTACACCAGTTTTCTACATCTCTCTTACAAGAAGTTCAATACAATTGCTTGCAAACATTTCAACGTCTTATTTATCCCAAAATGTCCTCCAAATGGAGTATCATGAGTTTCCAAAATTTGTTTAACCCTCTTCTGAGGAACGATAATCTGAAGAAAGCTAGACTTAAGATTCGGAACTTCCCATTTCTTATACAAGACTCTGTAACGGAGCGGAGACCGTGTAACGCGCGGCTTGCCCGGCCTTCCGCTTGCCGGACAGCTCGGTCAGACTAGGATTCGGGTGAGGAGAAGGAAGAGATTGCGACACGTTCGGTTACTTCTGTAATACAATGATTCTATATTCTTGAAACTTCTGACTATGTACAAGGTTTAAACGTCGCGGGGCATTAAGCCCTTACAGACTGACGGCTCACGGCTGTGATTGGCGCGCGCAAGCTATCGCGAGTCGGTCTCGGCCGACGCGGTAACGGAACGGAATCTTACCTACTAAAAAAGGAGGGCCGCGAGAATATACAACGAGAAGAGGTTTCCGGCTACGGAAACGCGGTTACGCGTGTCGGCGTCGGTGGCGCGGTGCGCGGACGCGTAGGATCGCGGCACGACGTGGTGCACGCGGACGGCGGGCCGGGTTTGCTACCAAGTAGCGAGAGATGTCCAGGGCAGCCGTAAGAACGGCTATCGCTGGGCCGTGAGAATGGCCGAGGGGACGGTGTACCTGTGCCAATGCCCCGGGTACGGTCGGTACGGGAACCTTCCGAGTTAACACTTTGGAGAGGCCGGATCGGCTACCCGAGTCAACACCTAGGGGAAGACGTCGGTGGCTTGAGTCAACTCCTCGAGCATACGGTTCTGGGGCACGGTTGTCCTCCCGAGTCAACACCTCGGAGATCGGAGCAGGCGTTTTCCGAGTCAGCACCTCGGAGAAGTTGTCGGTTCCGAGTCAGCACCTCGGAGACCTAAGAGTTGCTTCCGAGTCAACATTTCGGAGAGCAGGACGGGAAGGGAATGGTGCTTGGAGCCGGTTTCACTCGCCTTATATACGCGGCGGCGGCCCGAGCTCGGTCCGGGGAGCGGCGTGCGGTGCGCGCAGTCCCGTGAGTGAGGTTCTGCGCCGGCGCGGTGCTATTCGCGGTCGCGGCGTAGGGCGCGTTTACATGATTCGCGGCGAGTGCACATGGTGCAGTATTTTCGGTGTTGCGATGCGGACTTAAAACTAGTTACGAAAAGAAAATGACACCAAATTATAGATATATATATTGTGACGGGCACCTCGTTTTGGATATTATAGCGGAGGCGCTGCACAACTTCGGCACGTCTTTTACACCAAATTATTAAATTTTCTCTACTCACCTTAGTCGAAAGTTGAGCGTGAAAATCACGCCACTAACAACAGATCTTAATTTGCAGCAAATATTCCGACAACAATTTTGACGTGATGGCAAGGTCATTCGGCACAGCTCAGTTTATTCAACTAACGGAGAGGCGTGGGCTCAAGAAACAGTGAAAATAAAAGTCGGGAAACTTGCTCGTTGAGGATAAGTAATAATGAAATTTAATAACAGATATAATAATTATGGCGTGCGGCCGGCCAAGAAAATTCTCGGCTATACCTCAGAATAATACAAACAACAACAAAAAATATAAAGTAAATACGCAGAAAATAGTGAGCGACGTCGTACGTCGGAAATTTTCGTTCTAGTAACGGGTGATATCGGCGGCAGAATCTGGCGCGATCTTTTGTTGGTCGACTATCCGCTCGTGGCCGTGCGCTTGTATTCTAATATATGACTCGCCGCGCGAGGCGTTAGATAAACGATAGAATGCGCTGTCGTACGCCGGGCGATAGATAAGACGCGCGAGAGGCGCGCGGTCTTTGTCTGGTGCGTGCGAGATATTGCACACAATATGATGTCGCGGTCCGACGGCCACGAGTTTCGGCACGACCCGCACTTTCCGATCTCGATTGAAAACAATTGAACTACCTTAGATTTCGCTCCCAAAAGAATACTTTAACCTTTAGAGGGCCGGAAAACCAATATTTTGGCGCACCAGAATAACTTGTTCACTTTGTTTTTTTTTTTTATTAATTATTAATGTTCTTAATATTATTAGCAATTTTTAATATTATTTAATGTCAATTTGCCCGTCCTTCCCCCACTCACCTTGTACCCCTAATTTTTATGTGAGATATTCTAAAACAAATACATGGCTTGATTCGCGTGCGGCTGCAATTATAAACAAATTTATTTTTATTTGGAGTTTTTGAAGTTGCTATTTACTAGTAAAACAATTTGGCTAAATTGTGAATAGTAGATCAAAAATATATTTATTGATTACGCCTGCCCGTTTATCGTCGTCCGTTCTTGCCATACATGAGAACGGCGCGTAGGAGCACCTGTCGCCTCGCGTTCTCTGTTAGGTTGTGACCGGAGGTTAGGTGATATTTGGTCGAGTACTCACGCTTTCTTCTGCCTACCACGGTCGCCAGTCACTTTCACCTCCTAGTGACAAGGTTGCTTTTACTTAATTTCTGCTTTTCTTTGTTCCAGGCGCTGTATAAACGGACACCAGGCTTTCGCTTCTCGCAGGATCAGGATGTCAACAGGTAAGTTCAAGCACTTTTCACGCAGTTTTTTAGATATACTAATACAAATATATTTCCTCTTTGTCTTTGTTACACTTAGATAACAGTTTTAACGTATATAAAATTTCGACTGAGCGCTTTACAACCCTTTTACGCACTATTCTCTTACAGCGTGTCTGTTCCGAACAGTAGTTGTTATGCGACTAACTGTTAAGAACATGGCGTCGCTTTCCTTCCCGTTTCCACGCGGCGGCTAGCGGCGCGCATGCGCAGTGATACCTTAGGTCCTTTTTACTTACAGGATAAGGTGAGTACCATACACGTATGTGATGTGTGAATGTGTGGCAGGAATGTGGTGTGTGTGTTTTCCCTTAATCAAGTGTTTGTGTGTGTATGTGTGTTGTGTTATTTGTTCTGATTAACGAATGTATTTTGGTATATATGTTGCCTACCTCGAGTGTTTGCATTTGGTGTATGTGTGGTCTCTTATCCGCCTGTATTAGTGTGGGTATGATATGACTGTTAATGTGTGCATAAGGACGGATGTTTGCATGAATGTTGTGTGGGTGATGTGTGCATTTGTTTAATGTATGTGTGAGTGCTTATTCGTGTGACTGTGTTTATATGTGGTGTATGAGTTATGTCGCGATTAAGGGCTGTAACTTGGCACATGTGTTGTGTGTGTGAAATGTGTTCGAGTGACGTATGAACAAACCCTTATTCGGTAGTTTGATTTTACGACTAGTGTGAATGTTTGAGTTAAGTGTTGTGAGTGCATGTGTGTGATATGCGTGTGGTTCCTACGTGATTGGTGCGCCCGTCTGTTCTTAATCTCCTTAAAACAACCTTACTAAAACAACGGCGCTCTTCGCAAAACAAAACGCGAAACTAAAAATAAAATCAAAACTTGCACAAAACAAAACAAAAACCTGCTCTTTCTGCTTCCGGACCTACCGCTGGTCCATACGTGGTACTCGCTGCTTTTAAACTTACGGACTTATACGACTACGTACTAGAGTCCTTTACACTACTAACCTAAATGTCTTAACAACTAAATGGTCTTAATACTACAGTTCACTTGATTTGCACGCAGGTATCTCCCGGCTTAAGAATCCATCTCCATTCGGATCCCCTTCTTCTTCTTCACCGGTGTTGCTGCCCGATGTTGGCGATTGAAATTCGGGTGATTCTCGTTCCTGCGTCACGACCTCGACCTCCTGGACTACCTCCGGCGTCTCGACCGGCGCCTCCCGGGGTTGGGGTGACAAGGTCAGGCTCGAGATACACTTATTTTTTTTTACTTGTGTTGATACAACATTTTTCGTTACTTTTTATCTTCCTCGTACTTTATTACTTTTGCTATACAATGAATACAGGTGGTGACGAAGCTTGGAGTAGTGAAGAGTCAGAGCCTGAAAAAGATGTTATTAGAGACAGAACTATTGCTTGTGATGTTGATTTACTTGATAACAAACGTGATGAGAATATACCAGATGTACACTATGATCCTTATTTTTACCCATCTATAAAAACTTTTACTGGTGAAGCACGTATTCGTGATCATGTGTCTCTAGACGAACCTACTCCATTAGAATGTTTGAAATATTTTTTAAATACATTTTTTGTAAATTTGATTGTAGAACAAACCAATCTTTTTCAAGAACAAAATCCCGAACCGGATCGAATACATATGAAGCCGTGGACTCCTATCACTGAAGACGAATTATGGATAATGATTGCTTTATCAATAAACATGGGTCATGTTGTAAAAGGGCAACTAAAGGATTATTGGAGCCAAGATCCACTGCTGTACACTCCAATATACGGCGAAAGTCTATCTCGAAATAGATATCTTCAAATTTTACGATACCTTCACTTTTCTAATAATGAAGAAGTTTCCAATCATCCTTTGAAAAAAATCAAACCAGTGATAGATCATTTGATAAAAAAGTTTGGTAATACTATTATTACTGGTGAAAAGCTTTGCATTGACGGAAGTTTAGTCTTATGGAAACGGAAGCTAAAATTCAAACAATTTTTACCATTGAATAGACACCGATTTGGTATGAAGATATTTGAATTAGCAGACTACGAAACAGGATTTCTCTTAGATTTTATAGTATATACTGGCTCAGACACTGATTATGAGAAATTTGATTTAGGCGTTTCTGGTGATATTGTTGCACATTTCATGCAACTTTATTGTAACGAAGGGCGTGTGTTATACACTGATAANTGGTATACATCTCCACAACTGTCAGACTACTTACATGACAGAAATACTGGTCTTTGTGGAATTGTAAAGGAATGCCAACTCTTAGTTCAAAGCTAGATCGTGGTAACCAGAAGTTGCCCACACCGATTCTTGGATGGTAATCAAATGGATGGATAAAAAAGAAGGTTATGTATTGACAAGTATTCACGAACACCAGTTGTGTAAAACTGGTAGGAAAAACTACAAAACCAATGAAGATATTATAAATCCCATTTTTATCGTGAATTATAACAAAAATATGGGTAAAATCGATAATATCGACAGACAATTATCTTTGACAGAATCTATTAGAAAATGTATAAAATGGTATAGAAAATTGTTTTTTTTATTTAATTGATTTGATGTTGATAAATGCCCACAGTTTATTTAAGATGCTCACTAAAAATGCGATTTTGTTTCCTGATTTTCGATTGAGCGTTGTAAGAGATATTTTGTAAGTCAATTCTCAAGAAGTTTCTTCACTTACATTGCCTGATCTTAAACTGAATGGACGACATTTCCCCAGAAAAATTCAAGCTTCAAATGATGGTAAACCGCTATCACGTCAATGTGTTCTATGCACTATACACAAAAAGAAAAGTTGATCATCATATGAGTAAAAATTGTTGTAAAACTTTATGCATTAAACCTTGTTTTGAAATTTATCACACTAACCGATCATTGTCGTAATTTATAAAATTAAAAAAAACAATAAAAAAATTTAAAAACAAATCAGAAAATAAACAAAAAACAAAAACAAAAAAACATAAAATTGAATAAACAATAAAAAAATAAAAAAAAATAAAGAAACAAAAAAATAAAAAAACAAAAAAATTAAATAATTAATAAAGACTTAAGGCTCGTGAAATTTAAACCAATGAATGAATATAAGGCCTTACGAGCCGTTCTCAA